AAAAAAAAGAAAATAAAAAGTGCATTCATACATTCTAGAGGTCGTTATCAAAGATGTAAGAGAGCCAATACCCATCTTTTTCCAACAGCAAATGAGTGAAATTACAATAAGGAGCTGTACAAACTCAGCAAAAATAAAATGGTGTTGTATTTGCCCAGGCCCCTACCTCCCACCAGTCCTACCCTCCCCAACCTTTGTTTTGAACTGATGTGTACTGAGGCATTTGGTTCAGGTGCTTCAGGTTTGTTTTCCTCTGTGCTAGTACAGAGAAATGAACAACGGAGTAAATGTTACTTGAAGGCAAGACAAAGGAAATTCTTAGAAATACCTGGAGGGTGGGGCACCTGGGTGGCTCAGTCTGACTTTGCCTCAGGTCATGATCTCACGGTTGGTGAGTTTGAGCCCCACATCAAGCTCTCTGCTGTCCTCAGAGAGCCGGCTTTGGATCCTCTGTCTCCTCCCTCTGCCCCTCCCTGCTTGTGCCCTCTCTCTCAAAAAAATTCCTGTAGGGCAAGAAGCACCAAGAATTTAGTTTTTCAAGAAGTAGGTATGTAATAATTTTTATTTCAAGCTGCTCAGAGCCTTGTAGCAGCCGGGATGCAGGACACTTTCTGCTAGACCCCTCTTCCTGACGGTGGGCACCATGGCAGGCTTTACCCATCAGAAAAACAGTACCAGAAACACCTGCTCAGTGCAGTGTAGAGAACCCCTCGCTTCTCACTTAGCTCAGCAGGTGACCCTGGCTTGGACCAGTGGAGGATCAAACCGAAGGTAATAAAAGGCCCTTTAGAAGGCTTCCTCAGGCATCACCTATTGGCCAGGTCCTTCCTGCAACTCAGCTCCCATTCTACAATGGGAATGTAACAAAGTAATTCAACTCAGTGCCTTCCGATCCAAGTTTTAACCCTAAGCTACTATACCCCTGCGTGGGCACTGCCACACCTAAAATACTGTCAACCAATATTTACTTTTGTGCAAGGTATCCATTTTCCTAAGTCTTTGGCCCCAAAATTTACTTTCTTAAAAGTACCTTTACTAAGGGGCATGAGAGCAACTTTCTGGGTGTTGTTAATATTCTACCTCTTGATCTGGGCCCTGGTTTCAACTATGTTTGTTTTAGGACTATAGAACCCCACACTTATGATTTCTGCATATGTATTATAGTTCAATAAAAAGTTTTAAAGACTTGCATTTTTGGACCCCTAAGCTAGGACTAGATTCAAACTGGCTGTAATGAATCTCAAGGGTACAGGATATAGAGCTCTGTTATACAAACACCATCCTCACTAGGAGACTAACTCTGTAAATGGCTGATTTATCGGTTTTTTTCCCAGCAGATTTACAGACTTTGAGTAAACCACACTGACAAGAACTTTGGTCAGCCAGATGTTAAGATAAACAAACAAGTGTTGAGATTAACAAAGACAATAAATTGCTTTAGAATCCAAATAAATCATACTGTATATGACACACTCTCATGAGGTAACTAGAATCTATTTTAAAGACTGAAGGGGAAAAGGATAAAAAGAAGATTCAAAGGGTACATGTACCCCAATGTTTATAACAGCATAATGAACAATAGCCAAACTATGGAGAGAGCCCAAGTGTCCACTGACTGATGGATAAAGATGTAGCGTGTGTGTAAATATATACACATTGCCATTTGCAATGATGTGGATGGAGCTAGAAGGTATTATGCTAAGCAAAATAAGCCAGAGAAAGACAAATACTATATTATTTCACTCATATGTGGAATTTAAGAAACAACACAGATGAACATGTGGGAAGGGCAGGGGAAGAGAAGGGAGGGAAACAAACAAGAGACAATGACAGAGAACAACCTACGGGTTGACAGAGGGAGATGGGTGAGGGGATGGGCTAAATGGGTGATGGGCATTAAGGAGGGCACTTGGGATGAGCACTGGGCATCATAGGTCAGTGATGAATCACCTAATTCCACTCCTGAAACCAATACTGCACTGTATGTTAACTAAAATTTAAATTTTAAAAATTTTTGGAAGAATTTGCTTACAGAAAAAAGATAAAGAAGACTTAAACATGATTAACTAATGTGGCCTAATAGATGTATAGAATACTATGTTCAATAAATGAATATATGGTCTCATTAAAAGACTGAGGGGGAAGGGCACCTGGGTAGCTCAGTTGATTGAGTGTCAGACTCTTGATTTTGGCTCAGGTCATGGGATTGAGCCCCGTGTCGGGCTCAGTGCTGAGTGTGGATCCTGCTTGGGATTCTCTCTCTCTCTCTCTCAAATAAATAAATGAATAAATGAGGCAATATTTATTAGAAAAAAAAAGACTGAGGAAGAGAGTGGGTTGATGGTCACAGAGTAGCTCACAAGGGCTCTGAGGAGTTTTTTTTAGAACATGGGCCCTCTGTGGGTACATGTGAAGGATCAGGGAGGGAAGTAAGGAAGTTACCCTGGCATGTGGGGTGATCACCCATGTGAGACCTGGGAATGGCCGTCAAATATTCATCTCAGAGCCCAAACTGATACTTATGAAGGCTCAGCTCTCAGACACGTTCCAAAGCTGTCTGCTATGTGCCTCCTACACAGCTGGGGATCATGCCTCACGCACTCAACACGCCAAGAGCAGTATTAGCTCCTGGCTTACTTCTCAGCTATTAAATATCTGCCGACTGCTCTGATGTGGGGGTGGCGGTGGGTGCAGCCATCACAGGCAGTCCGTCCAGAAAGTTATCCTCTGGCAGGGGAAAGAGTTCTGAAAACAGTATTTTGGAGTAGATAAATCCATTTCTCTCACTTAGTTTGAGTACAATATAAAATATACAAATACTGCAGCAAGGCAACAGAGACCCAACACTTGTGCCCAAGCAGTGCTTACTTATGGCTTCTGGCTATCTTTCCCGACGACTCCATTTCATGCATGGTCTGTAGTCGGCACTTCACGAGTTCAGTGGGGCAAAGCACGAGAGCAGCAAAGGCAGAGGCGAAGGAACCAGCGGCCGCGTTCTGCAGATCACTGGAAGGAGACAAGCAGTTATTCATTCATTCAGCATTCACCATGCAGAGCACTCGGGCAGTGAGGGACAGCCACCATCAAAGAGAGGAACACTTGGGAACCTGCACGTGGTGTTTCATCTAAGGGTCTCACAACCCTTGGGAGGCTGACAGCAACACCCCAACTGTCATGTGGCAACACAACACACAGAATACGTAGAACGCATGCTACTACCAAGTAGCAATACTAGGAATTCAAACGCAGGTCTGCCTGACTGAAAAACCCATGCTCCTTCATCAGTCAAAGTGCTATGCACCGAATGTATCCCCCACCCCCAACTCTCTCTGCTGAAGCCTTAATCCCAAATATGCTGGTATTTCAGGAGGGACTTTGGAAGGTAATCAGACGGAGAGGAAATCGCAAGGGTAGAACCCCCAGGATGGAATTAGTGTCCTTATAAGAGACCACCTAGCTCTCTCTCCACCCACTGAGGACACAGCAAGAAGGTGTCCCTCTACAAACCAGGAAGTGGACCCTTACCAGACACCAAATCAACCAGCACTATGACCTTGGGCTTTCCAGTCTCCAGAACTGTGAGAAACAAAGGTTTGTTTAAACTACCCAGTTTGCAGCCACTCTGGAAAACAGTGTGGAGTTTCCTCAAAAAATTAAAATTAGATCTACCCTACGACCCAGCAGTAGCACTGCTAGGAATTTACAGAAGGGATACAGGAGTGCTGACGCACAGGGGCACTTGTACCCCAATGTTTATAGCAGCACTTTCAACAATAGCCAAATTATGGAAAGAGCCTAAATGTCCATCAACTGATGAATGGATAAAGAAGATGTGGTTTATATACATAATGGAATACTACTTGACAACGAGAAAGAATGAAATCTGGCCATTTGCAGCAACATGGATGGAACTGGAGAGTGTAATGCTAAGTGAAATAAGTCAGGCAGAAAAAGATAACCATGTTTTCACTCATATGTGGATCCTGAGAAACTTAACAGAAGACCGGGGGGAGGATATGGGGGGGCGGGGAAAGTTACAGAGAGGGAAGGAGGCAAGCCATAAGAGACTCTTAAATACTGAGAACAAACTGAGGGTTGATGGGGGGTAGGGGAGAGGGAAAAGTGGATGATGGGCATTGAGGAGGGCACCTATTGGGATGAGCACTGGGTGTTGTATGGAAGCCAATTTGACGATAAACTATATATATGTATAAAAAAAATAAACCACCCAGTTGATGGTATTTTGTTACAGCATCCAGAAGTAAGACACAATGACATATAAAACAAAATAAGGGGCGCCTGGGTGGCGCAGTCGGTTAAGCGTCCGACTTCAGCCAGGTCACGATCTTGCCGTCCGCGAGTTCGAGCCCCGTGTCGGGCTCTGGGCTGACGGCTCGGAGCCTGGAGCCTGTTTCCGATTCTGTGTCTCCCTCTCTCTCTGCCCCTCCCCCGTTCATGCTCTGTCTCTCTCTGTCGCAAAAATAAATAAACGT